TAGTATCTTCAAAGAAATTTCTCTGCCATCATGACCTAGAATGCGGTAAAAATGAAAGGAGGACAAGATCTGGGTCCTTGGTCAGGTGCAGTTTGGATGTTTTCTGCCCTCCTCTGCAGACATTGTTTTTGGACTATTCATTCCTGGGCACATTGTTTTAAGATTGAAAATTCACGAAGGAAATAACTGAGGTCATACCCAATGGCATGGAGGTCCACGATGCAAGCAAGATGTTATTCCCTCTGTAATCTGGTTTCCACACCGCTGCCTGAACGCAGCGTTGTGTGTTCTCCAGGACCAAAGCTTCCCGTCTCTTGTCTCAGAACACTTTGCAAGGTCATAGGCCACCCCCCCAACACACACACCTTGCAGACCACTTGCAGAATACAGCTATGCACCAGCCGGCCAGACCCCAGTAGGGGAATCTGCTCCTGAGACCCTCACCATGCTGATGGGTAAGGGTAAGGAGTCACTCAATTTCCCTGGGTGACTGCAACCCAGATTCTTGGAAGCACACAAGGTGGAATTCTTTAAGGTCATTCATTTGAAGGTGGAGTTAACAAATATGTTAATTTCAGGGAAATGAATGTCTTGGGAATAATCTTGAAAGGGAATTAAAAATTGGATTGATAAGCCATCTGTGCCTGTTTCCAAGCCAGAATCACAGCACTCCTGTGAAACAAAGCCAGATGCTTTGGAATCCAGAGAGCACCCCAAACTCCCAAGGCTGCTTCAGCCCTATAAACAACATCATGAACTTGGAAAGAATATTTGCCTTATTAATTTTCTGCTCTTTCTTAAGAAACACTGGTTCCAAAAATGTAGGTGGATATTCACAAATCCCTCCTCAGGTACACTCACTGCAAGCCAAGTAGAGTTCTGGCATTTCTGTCCACCATTTCCTAGGGTTCTAAGTCGGGGCCATGGGTGGAGGTCAAGTGGTTTGCATGCTCCTTCGAGTCATCTGCAGCGGCGCCTGTGCACCTGTGGAATTTTGGAGAAGAGATGCAGTTTCCAGTTACTTGGTTGATCCCACCCCACCCCCTGTGACAGGAGGTTTCTCTGGCTTGTAGGGTGTGGCCATGGCTCAGATGACCAAAAGCCAGCAACCAGATGAAGTCATCCAGGTCCTCTGGCTCCTATAAGCCCAGACCTCAGTTGCACCCACCCCACCCCCATTCTCAGTGTAGTCTTTCTACTGATTGTCCCAGTAAAGATGCCTCCTGTTGTATAGACACTTGGTTTAATAAAGTGCATGCACCTCCTGGTTTTGACTGAGAAACTGGAGCAAGGAAGCAGCATATGTAGAGGGTAGAGGAGGATTGATGACCAGAGGTCACTTTAAAATCTTCAAACAAGTTACTAGGGCAGAAATGGAAAATGGGTAAGAAACAATCAGGTGAGTATTCCCCATTGGATGTGCCCCAGTTGGGAAAGGTGAGGCAGATGGCTCCGCCCCACAGGGCGGGAGGTTGATGCTGTCTTGGGGTGTTATAAGAAGGGAAGCAGGTGGCTTCTCTCATGAGGAACAAACTGGAGTGACTTGTGGAGATCGGTGGAGGCAAGGTGTCTGGAACTGGTTCTACATTGTCCCCACTGCCACCTCTGTGTCCAGTACACATGTGCTGCGAACTCTTGTTCTTGTTTTAAAGGAGTTGTCCTGGGTGTGTGGAACAAACCAACATATTTGGTTTCTGTTTGACTGCGTTTTGATAACCTCATCAATACATGGACATGCCAGTAAGCTGCACCTCTCAACTAGATTTTGATGTACCTGAGACCCATGCGTATTCCTGTGATGGCACTGTAGTCAGATGACACCACTCATCAAAGTGCCCTGGGCCATTGTTCTTCCTTCATTCTTCATGTTTCTCCCCCCCCCCCCAAATCCCCTTACTCTAGAGAACAGCTTTTGCCACTGCAGACTCTCCTGCAGTTTCGAGCATCACGTACAAAAGCAAATCTATAGCATACACATTTTTGCTTGGCCTTTTCAATCAGCATATTTTCACTTTTGCTCAATATATTCCATGGATATATACTACCTATTGATGGAAATTAGTTTTTTTATTGGAAAATTGACTGAGAACACTTGGACCATTTATGTACAAATTATCATATGCTGACATGCTTTCATTTCTCTTGAATCTTATTTTCATTTTAAACAAGAAGTTTATTTAAACAACAAGATGGCTGGCTTGAAGGGAAAACTATCTAGGATCATCTTGTTCAAGAGTAATTTACAGGTTGTCCTATGTGTAACAGCTATGTACAAAAAATTTACAAAGTTGTCCTTGGTTTTAAAATAATAAATAAAAAGCACTAAGATTCTCCAATCAAACAAGGTATTGTGGTAGTTTGAATGTAATTGGCCCCCATAAGCTCATAAGGAGTGGCACTATTAGGAGCTGTGGCTTTGTTGGGCAGGTATGGCCTTGTTGGAGGAAGTGTGCCACTGTGGGGGTGGGCTTTGGGGTCTCTTTTGCTCAAGCTTTGCTCAGTGTCACAGTCTATTTCCTGTTGCCTTCTGATCAAGATGTAGCCAGCACTAGGTCTGCCTGCATGCCGCCATGCTCCCTGCCATGACAATAATGGACTGAATCTGTAAACTGTAAGCCACTACCTCAATTAAATGTTTTCCTTTATAAGAGCTGCCATGGTCATGGTGTCTCTTCAAAGCAATAGAAACCCTAAGACAGTATGCAAGGATTTTATGTTGTTGGGTTCTTCTGTTAAAACAATGAGAACAAAATAACTTACTGGAATATACAGATAAGAGCTGAATAAACACATCACTAACGAAGAAAGGGGGATATTTTCATAGAACCAGTACTTTTCCCAGACCATCCCCTTCTGATGTCAACCAAAACAGAACATTGGTCATTTAGTTTAAAAAAGAAAAAGAAAAAAAAAAACTGCAATAGGCTTGTGTACATACACCAGTTAGTTTATATACAATAAAGAAATGGGAACCCAGAAATGAAAGAATAAAGAAAACTACACTGTAGTCAGACTGTGGTGGGAACCAAATTGTGGCTTTCTAATTGAGAATATATTCTTGGGCTGTAAGAAAATTCTGTGGTAAAGGAGCAGGTTCCCCTTTTAGTCTGCTGTCTGCTGCTGAAACACATCAATCATTTCTTCATCCTTTTCCAACTGTGCAGGTTGTGGCATCATTGATCGTTGCCATCAAACCGGAATCTGATCTGCTCATTGACAAACCTCATTGTTCACAATAGGCTTTCATTAGTTCACTAAGTGCTGTCTGCCTCTTCATCTTAAATTGCAACGACAACCATCTGCCCACCACCTTCAAATCAATATGATCGTTGTTCTCAGTCTCAACTCCTTCCTTGGGTTCCTCCAAGGCCATGGTGAGCACCAGAATCACCTTGGCTGCCACTTTGCAAAAGTGGCACCAGGTTCCCACTGATGGAGCACACAGGCAGCACCAGGGGTGGCAGATTAAGGAGGTAGTTTAAACTGTCTGTCTGTCTGTCTGTCTGTCTGTCTGTCTGTGTCTATCGTGTGTGCATGAGTGTTCGCGTGTGTGTATACAATCTGTAGAAGCTATTTCTTTCTGTGTGTGTGTGTATGTCCCACATCAAAAACCTGTAGGAGTCTCTTCCCCCAACTATGTGAGTTCCAGGGACTGAACTTAGATCATCAGGCTTGGCTGCAAATGCCCTTGGATCTAAGCTGTTTCCACAGCCTTTGCTTTCATTTCTCCTTGGGAAATACCTAAGAGCAGAATGGCTGGTTCATGTGGCAGATATTCGTTTAACTTTTAGAGAAGACAGAAAGCCCTTCCCCAAAGTGATCATACCATTTCACACCCACCGGCAGTATATGAAGCTTCTCGCTCTAGACTTCAGCAATATTTACCACAGTTTTTAAATGGTAGACATTATGTAGATACACAGGGATAGCCCGTTGTTTAATCTGAATGATTTTAGGCAAAGTTTAGTGCGATTTTGCCATCCGAATAACTCCCCTGTTGAAGTGTATGTTTAAATTTCCTCCCCCCCTCCCTCCCTCTTTCCTTCCTGTTTGAGATGTTTGCTATTCCAATTGTTGTTTCAAGAATTCTTTAAATAGTCCAGATAAAAGTCCCTTATCAGATTGTGGTTTGTAAATATTTATTTCCAGCCTGTGGCTCCTGTTTTCATTCTATTATTAGAATTTTCTTTCAAAGAGCAGGCTTTGAGATAATTGCCCGCCTTTCATGTTTTTGGTGTTATATTTGTCCAATAAGATATCATAAAGATTTTATTCTGGAAATTACTGCCAAGTTAAGTTTTGTGTTTAGGAACATGATCCATTTTAAATTAGTTATTCAGGTGAATAATCATTTGGTCATAAATAGTGTTGACCTATTTACTAGTCAGCATTCTGCATAAACAGTTGAGGTGTAGATCTCCGCACGTGTGTAAACATGTGGTAATGGTACACAGTTCTCCTAGCACTGTGTCCCGAAGACTTTGCATGTATGTATGTATGCATGTGGTAACAGTGTGCAGCTGTCCTAGCACCATTTACTGAAGACCATTCTACCTCTGGGCTCTTGTCTTTGTGGCAACCATCAATTGGTTGTCTATGTGTGGGTCTGTTTGTTGACTCCGTTCTGTTTATTTCTTTTTAAAGTTAATATCATGCTTTTCTTTTTCCTTCCAAGACCAGTTTTTTCCTATGGTAGCCCTGGTTTTCCTGTCACTCACTCTGTAGACTAGGCTATCCTCAAACTCAGAGATCTATCTGCCTCTGCCTCTGCCTCTGCCTCTGCCTACTGAGGTCTGGGATTAAAGGTGTGTGCCCCCACACCTGGCCAAAACCATACTTCTTTATGATAGTAGATTTATAGTAATTGAAGTCAGGCAGTATGACTATTCAAATGTTCCCTTCTTCCTCAAAATTGTTGGTTTATTCTGTTTTCTCATTTGCATATGAAATGTTGAATTTTAATTGGGATTACATTGAATCCATAAATCATTTTAGAGAATAAACATTTTTACAGTCTCCCATTTCCTGATCTATATGGTCAACATCTTTTAATTATTGCACAGGCCTTAGATTATCTCAGCAATATTTCACAATATTCACTGTCAGAAGTGATGTATATAGAGCAAGACTTGTTCCTCAGCATTTCATCCTATTTCAATGGATTTTTGTTTTAAAGCAGGATTTTATTATATAGTTCAGGCTGACCTCCAGCACCCACCACCCTATCTTGAGCGCACACTCCCTGTGTGTGTGTGTGTGTAGGGGAGGGAGAGAGGGAGAGAGAGGAGGAGAAGAGAGGAGAGAGAGAGAGAGAGAGAGAGAGAGAGAGAGAGAGAGAGAGAGAGAGAGAGTGCCAGGAGGAGACCTCCAACTTATTGAGAGTGGGTCTTTTATTTGGCTGTAGCTGACTGGCCTGCAAGCCCCAGAGATCTTCCCATCTCCACCTCTCTACAGCTGGGATGAGCTGCCCTGTGGGTGCTGGGAATTGAACCCTGGTCCTCTGCAAAAGCAGCAAGTGCTCTTAACTTCTCAGACATCTCTCCATCTCACCAAGGATTATTTTGTTTGTTTTGTTTTTTCAATTTTAATCTCTGATTGTTTAAACATTTAATTTTTGTATGTTTATCTTGTATCATATTAACTCTATTATAGTTTTGATGGTATTTTCCTATAGGCTCAGTAGGAAGTCTTACAGAGGTGATCACACTATTTATACATATAAAGCCTTCAATTTCCTCCTTTGCAACACACTTTTATTTCTTTTCTTGACTCATCATACCACCTAGTGATCTCTGTTGCAATGCAGAAATGACAGGACAATCCTCCTGTTCTTGATCCCACCATGCAGTACCCTAGTCCTTCATCCTCCAGTGTGGCACTGGCTGTATGTTTCTCACAGATGCCCTTCATCAAGTTGAGAAGGTTCCTGTTTCTGCTGAGTTGTCTGTAAATCTTCTTTTCTAAATTAGGGATGTGACTGGAGAGATGACTCAGATATTAAAGGTTAGGCTCACAACCAAAAAATATGGATCAATATTGAAATGAATTAAATGTGTCTTCTATACCCATTGAGGTGACCATGCTAGTTCTTTTTCTCTTCTTTACCATGTGAGTGGCCTTGATCGACCAAATGCTGAATGAACCCTGCTTGCTGGCATGGCCCCACCTGGTTCTGATGAATTATCCTACTAAATTATTGTCATTTGTTTGATAAAAATCCATATTGTGAGAGGATCCTTACTGTGAGGGGATCACTTTGCTGGTTTCATTTTTCTTGTTTATTCGGTAAGGTGACCGACGAATTCTGGCCTCATAGAATTATTGTTTACTCTTTCCATTTTATGTAAAATTGGTGTTACTTAGCTAAGTGATCACCATCAATTACCAGTGATGCCATGTAGAATCTGGATTTTCATTGTGGAGATAGATGGTTTCAATGGTACATTTGTTTTCTGTAACAGACACGGGTTGCTCTGTCTCCAGGCTGTAGTGGGGAGTTCCCCCTTACCTTGTCAGTTTTTCTCAGGGTACACTCTCCTTCGTCATCCAGTACCCAATTCCTCAGAAACTGTCCTTTCCTATGATTGTCTAACCAGTAGATTTAAAAAAATTATTTTATTTTATTTTTGTGTGTGGGTGTTTTGCCTGCATGCCTGGTGCCCTGACAAGCCTGAAGAAGGCATCTGATCTCTTGGAACTGGAGTTTCAGAGGGTTGTGAATCACCATTGTGGGAGCTGGGAATCGAACCTTAGTCCTCTATAAGAGCAAACAGTGCTGTTTACTGTGAGCCAGCTCTGCAGCCCCCTAACCAGTACATTTTTAAAGGTGCAGGATAGAATCTCTTGGGCCTATCTCCAGTAGGTAGGAATCTCCCATCTCCACCATATCTGCTGTGTGCATGCAAAGATCAGGCTATACTCTGATGCTAACCTTCATGACTCTAGGATGAAAGTCCTCGTGAAGAGTGTCCCACATGCTCTAGGTACCATTGATTCTGCTTTTCCAGATGTTCTCAGCATTACAGTCCAGAATTCTGGTCCCAGAACCAAGATGCTTTCCGTTCATTCTGTCCTCTTGCAGCCTCCTTTACAGCCTGTCATTTAATAATGAGATTTTCAGCCAAATGTCCACATAGAAGTATCTTTATGGAATGTTGTAGTGCTCTTCAAACAGAAAACAATATTTATCTTTCAGGCAAAGCTGCTTTCTGTAGCCTGGTTGATTATGGTTTACCATACAGAGTCTCAGCCCTGTTCCCGGATCCTGGGCTGAGTGTGTTCCAGAACACAAAGGATGAGACAGAGGCGGGTGTTCTGGCTCTGGTGGGAGCTATCCAGCTCTTCCACTATTGCCTGTCTAGACTTTTGAAAGCCATCTTCTCTTTCACACCCAGATTTCCTTAGGCGAAGAAAGGCATAAAACATGCCCTTGTTTAGGGTACAGTGTGATAATCAAAGGAGATACAGAGTATGAACTCCTTGGTGTGTAGAGATGGGAGACCTCATGCACTCATTCCTTAGTCCTCAGCCAGAATAGCCCCTTCACCCTCAGCACAGTCCAGTCCAGACTGCCTCCAGACTAGAAGACAACCAGTAGCTCTCTGCTGGGGGGAGGGTCTATGATACTAGATACTGGTCTTTCCAGAAAAATTCCCACACTCCAGCCTAGCACAAAAATGGTGCTATGCAACAAATGTGTGTGTCCTTCAAATGCTTATATTCAATTCTTACCCAGTGTGCCATTGGTAGGGCCACCAGGGCTGGATTAGGGTAAGTATAGGTCACGAGAGTGGAGTTCCTGATGGGATCAATGGCATATAAGAAGAGGCAGGAGACTAGAGCCATCCTTCTTCTCCATCACAGTGGACTCACCAAGAAGTAGCCACTATGAACCAGGCAGCCTCTGAGCTCAAAACTGGCTGTTCCAGGAAGCTTCCATACCGGATCTCAAGACTTCTTGACCATGGGCTTCCAGCCCTAAGCACTATGAAAATGGCATTTGAGTCACATGTCTGAGATAATTTGCATCAGGGATCCATACTAAGACAGTAGAAAGCTCAGCACCTCTATGTCTCCAGAAGGGCTGGCACAGGCTGGTTGGAGAAGGGTGGACTATGAGCCCAGCTAGCCTCAAGGACTAGGAGGTCTGGAGACCTGGGGCAGGATGCAGCAAATGGAACTGTGAAGAACAAGTGCCAAGTTCTCCTGATCTACAGAGTCTGAAAGAGAGCGGTGAAAGGAAGTGGAAAGAATGAACAGCATTGATTTGCATTGGTCATTTCATCAAAATATTGTAAACAGAGGCCAAAGGTGGTCTGGGGAGGGGATACATGAAAATGGTTGTGCCTCAGATGGTCTCAGCAGAGGAACATA